TTTCAACAAACGGGGAACTTGGGGAAGTATTTAGGAATTTCGGCTCATCACTCACGAGTTAATAAGTCCTCCTACCAGGACATTATAGAAAAATTGAACCAGCGACTAAGTGGCTGGAAGGCAAGAAATCTCTCATTCGCGGGAAGACTTACGCTCACCAAGTCTGTCCTTGAAGCACTTCCTTCCTACACAATGCAGACAGTCCAGCTTCCCAATCTTTTATGTGATGAGATTGATCGAATTTGTCGCAACTTTCTTTGGGGAGATAATCAGATTCAAAAGAAATGCCATGCTGTTGGCTGGGGGACCCTGTGCTATCCAAAAGAATATGGTGGGCTTGGCTTAAGACGCATGCGTGATGTCAACACTTCATTTATGATGAAGAACTGCTGGAGTTTGATTACAGAACCTCAAAAACTATGGGTAAGGGTTGTAAAAGCTAAATACAAGTGTTCTAATGAAATAATTCCAAAAGTTGTGAAGAAATCAAACATGTCAAATCTTTGGCATGGCATAAACGGTGCTTGGAATTTGGTTGTTTCTAATATCGGCTGGCAACTGGGAAATGGACGCATGATTAAATTCTGGTATGATAAATGGATTCCGAATTCTCCTCCTCTAATCCAATGTGCGTTAACATTTATACCTCCTGTTGAGCTCTTTAAATCTGTAAGTGACTATACCAATATGCTTGGAATATGGGACCTATCACATATTCAAGATTGGATACCAGCTGAATTATTAGCAACAATCCTATGCAGTCCCCCTCCCTCCGAGGATGCTGGCATTGATAAGATTATTTGGAATCCAACAACGGACGGCTTGTTCACAATTAAATCAGCACATGAAATTGCTGCTCAACAAATGTTACCAGCTAAATCTCCTCTCTTCAAGCAAATATGGAAATGGCATGGGCCGGAGAGAGTTCGCGCATTCCTTTGGAGAGTAGCTCATGAGAGCCTACTCACAAACTCCTGTAGGGTCAAGCGTGGAATGACTTCTGATTCCACATGTGGTGAGTGCAGGCAAGCCATGGAAACTACCTTACATGTGCTAAGAGATTGTCCGTATGCCCAGGAGGTGTGGAATAAAACCTGTAGAGGGACAGCCTTGATGCAAGCGTCTAAAGGAAATTTGGAGACTTGGCTTTTGAAAAATCTTGTCAGAAGCCAACACTTGAGACCAGACTGGAGCTTAATATTCGGATTAACTCTAGACTCGCTATGGCATCGTCGCAACAGAGCACTTTTTCAAAATTTGAGCATCTCCTCCGATCAGTTGGTAGCAGAGATACAAGCTCGCATAGCCCTTTCAATCTCGAGGGACTTCAACCAAAATCTAGGCTCAGGACCCTTGGACCGGAACACTCAATGGACATATCCCCCGACTGGAGCTCTGAAGCTGAATTGTGATGGAGCGGTGGCACGAAACGGAGAGGCCTCGTGTGGTGGAGTTGTGAGAAACTCTAATGGTAAATTCGTTGTTGCGTTCTCTGGACGCCTTGGACGCTGCTCTATTCTTGAAGCTGAATTAAGAGCTAATTGCAAGGAACCCGTATAATATTAGAAAGAAATGTGGGCCAAGTTATCTTGGTTGAATCTGATTCATCAGAAGCAATAAGGATAATCAATGAAGGATGTTCAAGGGTCCACCCTTGTTGTCATCTTGTTCGGGAGATAAAAGATTTGTCAACTCAACTATCCAGAGTTTCTTGGTCTTACATCAATAGAGAAGCTAACCTAGTTGCTGATACACTTTCTAGAAGTAGAGAGACTACATTGGAGGATGTTTTCATTTATGAATCCCCTCCATCCTGTATTTTTCGCTTGTTACTTGCAGATTCTTCTGCTACTCTCCAAGTTAATGCTTAGTGTTCTGGGGTCTTAACCCCCCTTGTTGACCAAAAAAAAAATATATAAATAAAGTAAGACATTTCATTTATTACTTTTTTTTTTTTTTCCTTATATGTGGCTTTGCAACTTGATAATGAATCTTTATTGTGCTACAAAATATTTTTCGTTGAGTTATAAAAATATAAAAATAAAAAAAATAGTTCAAACTCAAACTCAGTTTTTACGATTTTGTATATTTTACACTGGATAGATCACTAATTCTTCGTTCAAACAATTAATTCAGACTGATTTTCATATTTAGTTATAAGCGAAGAATAAAACTGAGATACAAATACGATATCATAGTTATTGATTGTATTATTTTTTTAACCAAAATCAATTGCATAAAACGCTAATATTAGTGAGACGAAATGAAATCTAATATTTACTAATTTTGATTGAAAAATAATACAACAAATATCTGTTACTTCATCCAAATTTTGTTCATAAATAAACTACTAACTAGTGTTATGTAATTGATTATTTAGAAGTCGCATTTTAAATTAATGAACCAATTATAAACTATCAAAACCAATTTGATTTAGTTCATAACTTTTACCAAATATTATTGTAACACATGAAAATCAAATCTCGGTACACCAAGTCAACCACCAATGTCAAGACAGGTTTTACAATTACTGGGTGAAAAAACTTGATTACTAAACACTGTTAGTAAAACATATATACCAAAAGAAGAAATAAAAAGAGTTACTTTTAGGTAACGTTTATATTGATGGAAAGAAAGACTACAATGAAATTAAACAAAAAAAAATATTATTTAATATAAAATGCCCCATCATAAAATACATTTTATTTCATTCCGTCCATTACTCCACCTTTTTTTCCCCCGATTGGGAGGTTAAGATGGAACCGATTTTTTTTTTCTTTTCAATACCATCGTTAAAATATATAAACAATGAAATAGTAATTATATTCTAATACATTTCATTCACCCGGCCCTATTTCATCTCCTTTAATTTCAATGTTAAACAGACTCAGGAGCAAAAGCAATTTTTGTTTGAAGCAACTAAACATTACCCCTCCCTCCCAATACCAAAAAGTGTATGGTTTGGTGGTAGGAAATCATGATAAGTTCACAAGAGCAACTATCTGTTGTTTCTAAAAATCATAGTGACTTTAATTCACTGTCAATCCGAACACACACTCACATTGTGTTCCCTCAAATGTGATTTTTGAAGTTGTCCAATGCTTTTCAAGACAAGCTACAAGTTGATAGCTTCATCAACTATTGAACAGTAATATACTGGTTCTTAAGGGTTGCTTTGTTATCCAAATGGATTTTATTATTTACACTGAAGCACCAAAAGTTGATAACCCAAGATTCCAAACAGATTAGTTTATTGCTGGAAAGCATCCAAATACAGCAATAATAAAAATTATGAAAGAAAGCTCAAAGCTGGTGTCTCAAGGAGCATGATTTTAGACACATTTCAGCTTCAGGAATATGACTGTACTCAAAGGGGAAGAAACTGTCCCCAGCAAATTGTAATGAAACTTCCTCATCTAGGAAATTGACTCCAGGCTCTAGATGACTCAAACCTACATGATAGACTTCCTCTCTAGCAACATAAAGACCCAATCAGCAGAAAACCACTCCTTTCACTCACCAATATAAATTGGTTTCCGCTTCTCAGCAAACGCAGCTAAGCCTTCTCGTCGATCTTTAGTACTCAACACCTGATCATAGCAATCTTCTTCCAAAGCCAAAGCCGAAGTTAGATCAGTCTCAACTCCCTCATTAATTGCTCTTTTAGCCATCCTTACAGCTACAGGACCCTGTTAAAAGTTTAATGAAAGTATGTAACTGAATAACATGAAAGAACAACCACCACAACTAAGTCTAATATATATATATATATAACATTTTCAATGAAAAGGAGGGTTTTTTATTTTGGAAATTCCACACCTAAAGTATATACTATATAGTATACATGAAACTCCATTTGACAAAATAAATTTTAGGCTAACGTTCTAAAATACAAGAATAATTGTTCAATAAATATTTCTTTGAAAATACATTCTTCTAATAAAAAAATTGTTTAGGACAAATAACCAAAATGTTTTTTTGATTTGAAAAATTAGATGGATCACAGGTATCAAATGCACCAACTGATTTTTGCATAGGAAGTGAAGTTTTTAGTAATGTACTGATAATATGAGCTATCTTTTTCTTTTTCTTAAAAGATCAATTTCTTCAAAAGAGCATAATCAAAAATCAAAAATTTAAAAAATCAATGGTTGACATTTATATATGGACATTCAATGCACAAAAGGCCTGATCCCTGCATTTCTAAATGTCATAAACCACAGCTATACCCGTTTCAGAATGATATATTTCCAAGATACCTTCAGATTGATATCCCGAGCAATTGTAAGTGCCTTTGAATAAGCTTCACCATCAGGAACACAGTAATTGACAAGACCTGTGTCAATGAATTTTTAGGCAGCCATATATCATGGTATTTGTAGGGGAAGTAAAAAAAGAGATTATGCTAATTTTGAGAAAAGAAGCAGCAAGAAGTTAGTGTTCTTTTTCTGGTGAAAAATTTGTTTTGTCATTGTAATGAAAGTTGCACAACACTGGTGACCTTTGTCTTTGCTTTACTGGAGTTTATCAGGAGATACTGCATAAGTGTTGGCAATGAACTCCTAAAACATGATAGGTTTGATAGACAAGCTACAATTTTATAATGTTTTAATGTTTCTTCAAGTGAAATTATGAATTCCCAAAAACAATGTCATATATCATGGAGAGATGCTATCGACATTCTAACATTTTTTTTATTATTGGCTGAAATATATCAGAAATTATAAATTTTGGTAGGCTTACCACTATATCAAGGGAGAGGCTATTTAAATGAGACATGGAATCAACTAAAATTTGTAATTTCCAATAAATTTCAGCTAATAATTGAGAGTATTAAAAAGAATGCCATTAGCATTGAGCATTCCTCTATATTGTGTGCTCTCAAGATGCTCCTCCTGTACATCGCAGTGCCTGATGATGTTTTTACTTTTTACTAATTAGAGAACGAAAGAAAAAGGAACCAAATGACTATTCAGCATACCCACTGATAGTGCCTCTTCACCCTCAATCCTTCGACCAGTAAATATAAAATCCTTTGCAACTGCTTTTCCAACTAATCTGGGTAGTCGCTGTGTTCCACCAGCCCTATATCGATACAAACAAGAATATTGGGGTGACCTTATTGCACGCATTTTAAAAAAACAAAAACAATTCAAATTCACCATTAGGTTTATATTTCTGTACATATTTTAGATATATTCTCAACAATCCTTCTAAAAATTTAATCCTTTTCATTATTAGATAGCAGAACTGAAGAGATACACGGCTGAAATAGATACAACATGCTAAACAGTATTAGTATGCAGCATACCCAGGGATTATTGCAAGTGTTGTCTCTGGAAAACCCATAATAGCCCTGTCTCCTATGCCATGAAAGAAGAAAAGTAAAAAAATAATAATAATAATAATAAAAATAATAAAAAAGTCTAATACTTGCATCACACTAAGAAGCATTCAAATGATCCTACAAACAATTAGAATCCATAATCCAATTTACAAAAGTACTGCATATTTAACTACCACATATCCGAATATCACATGCCAAAGCCATTTCAAGTCCACCACCAAGAGCTACACCTTCAATAATAGCAATAGTTGGTATACGAACAGCCTGAACAAAGGAACAAATATTATCCTAATTTCAAGAAGCAGTATCAATAAAATGGGAAAACAGACATGCTATGACACGCATGAAATACAGCCAGGGCAAAAGAACAAGACAGAGTCCACTTAGAACTTTTCCATTACCAGTATTTCATACCACCACTCAAATCCAGACAATGTAGAAGCAAAAACAAAAGGTCAGGTCAGCTCATGAGCAAAATACCCGCTGCCCCAAAAATAAAAATAATAATAATAATAATAAAAGGGTGTGAAACAGAATAGAATTAAAAACACCATAACCTATTTCATATGATGCTTCATCTGTCATAAATTCATAACATTAAGTTGACAACAATGATAAGTAAACAACACAAATATTAAAATTTAATCCAATAAGTAGACAAATGTCATGAATGATATTAACTAACCTCAAGAAATGAGAATGTGGACCGAAGAGAATTCACAAAAATCTTGGTCTCTGATTCACTCATGTCCACGCGCTCCTGCAATCAATAAACACAGAACCTTTAAAAGCAGACAGGGATCTAAGAACATAATAAGGAAAATTAAATCCACACTGGGTTGCATAACAGCAAGAATCCATTAGAAACCCAATCAAATCATGTCCAACTTTTACGTTTTGAAAAAATTTAGTTTATGATAGAAGAAAATAGACTTCACAAAATAAATCAAACACGCAAGCCTTCTTCCTTCAAAGAATAAAAAACACAGAATTTAGCAATCAACCTTTAAATCAGCCCCAGCACAAAATACTTTAGGTACTGAACTGCAGATCATAGCAACATTAGCGTAAGAATTCTGATTAATCAACTCAAACGCATGCCTTAGTCCTCGTATCATCTCTGTCCCTATCGCATTCTTGGCTTCAGGCCTGTCCAAGCTAATTTCAACAATCCCTGTAAAAATAAATGAAAAAAAAAAAAGGGAATTAACCTTTTTCTTTTTAATTTTCCGCATCTTAAACAAAGGAATTGTTTTTTTTTTTTTTTTTTTTTTTTTACCGGAATAAGGGCCAGTGAGTTTGCGAAGCTTGACGAGTTCAGAAGCGGAAGATTGGAGAATGAGATTTCTACGGGCGTGGTACTGGTATTGATGAGTGATGAAATTGAGGAGATAGGGTTTGGAGCTGGTGCGCAACACTCTCAAAGGGCACATTTTGTTTTTGGTCAATGCAAGTTCAATTCTACTTTATTTCTTCAGTGTGAGATTATCCACTTCTTCAAACCAGTCTCTTTGCAACCGTAGGCTCTTTACAAATTTATTATCAAATTGAGAGAAATATTCAGTGATTCACGGTGCTCATCGGACATATCAGCATCCTTAGTGTTAGAGCATCTCAAATGCTAAGTTATTATCTAATTCTTAAGTTTAAGTTTTTATTCTTTATAAAAAAATATGCATTAGAATATGTTGACATGATAGGTTAAATTGTTAAAATTTAAGCATCCTTGCTTATATAAGAGACGGTTATTTAAGAATAAAAAAAAAATATTTCTTTCTTTTACTGATGCTAACAACTATAATAATTAAATTTTTTAAAATTTATTAAAAATGAAGTATGAGTAATTAAAAAGTGGAGGTACTTATAAGCAATTTTTATTGGAGTAAAAATTATAAAAATGTAATATAAGTTACTTATGAGTAATATGGCAGTGTGGGATCCATTTAAAGTGGATGAGAATTGCTTATAAACAACTCCCATTGTAGATGCTCTTAGTGTCATATGAGTTTTTATTATTTATTATTGATATTTTAACGCCAAATTACATTTTCATTTTTTTATTTAGTATGATACTTTATTTTTTAAAATATTCAATTTCATCGTTTATAATTTATGTTAGTAGAGTGACCCAAAGTAATTATTTTTGTTTAGTTCTTAGTCTAACATGAAAAGAAAAAATGCATTGACCATAACATCACATGGGATTAAATTAAACTGTATTCAAATATAAAATTCTAAATTAATTTTTTTTTAAAATATAAAGAATCAAAATTGAACTTTTTAACGATATAAAGTAATCTTGAGGTAGTGGAATTTTGTATAGTTAAGATTAAAATCATACTTAATCTAATTTAATTTAATTCTCTTTTATTATGAGATATTAAATTAAATAAGATTGATATAAGATATTTGAATCTAATTTAATTCTTTTTTATTTTTTATTTTTATTTTATATTTACTTTATATTCAGATAATTAGAATTTCTTCTAGTTATCTTTATTTACATAATTTTCTCAGATAATTTTGATTAATAAATAAATAAATATCATTTTCTTCTCCAAAATTATAAAATCCAATTACATGTTTAAATACAATATTTCAGATCGATATTAATTTTAAGGTTTAAAATACAACATAAATGTTTTGATGACATATCTTAATATATAATGTTTCATAAATATTTTGTTCAGTAGCAAATTGTAATTATATTTTACTTAATTTTGTCATTAACGGTATAACAAACAAATAACATTGACAACACAAAAAGAAAATCAACAATAACTATTTATACTTTTAGAAAATATTTTTTCAATTATTATTTTATACTCTTAAATATTTTTCAAAAGTATATTTTAAAACATATTTTTGTTGCATATATTTTAGCATATTATGTTATATAAAGATAGGTAGGATGGTAAACGAGCCAGTTCAACTCCTTTAAGCTCACCTCATCATTAATCCACTAAAAATGAGTCGAGTTGAATGTCTTGATCCATCTTACTTATGGGTGAATTAGCGAACTGGCACGCCGGTCTACCAAAAAATAAGAAGAAAAAAATTACATATTCATTTTAGATACCTCTTCTAACATATTTCTTTTTCAATATCTAAAAGACTCATATAAATTAATATTTTATCCCAAAAAACAGAAAAATGGGTTTTGGCTGAGAGGGTTTTTAACGAGGCACACAGATATATTCAATAAAATGAATCATCTTGCTCAATCCATATTCTTACTTTATGTTTTTACCGAGGTCGAGTACGAACCTTTACGAAGAGTCAAACAACCAAAATCCGAGGTCGAGTTCGAACCTCGAAATGATTAACTCGAGGTCGAGTACGAACCTTTACGAGAATTAAACAACCAAAATACGAGGTCGAGTTCAAACCACGGAACGATTAACTCGAGGTCGAGTTCGAACCTTTACGAGAGTTAAACAACCAAAATCCGAGGTCGAGTTCGAACCTCGCAACGATTAACTCGAGGTCGAGTACGAACCTTTACGAGAGTTAAACAACCAAAATCCGAGGTCGAGTTCGAACCTCGTAACGATTAACTCGAGGTCGAGTACGAACCTTTACAAGAGTTAAACAACCAAAATCCGAGGTCAAGTTCGAACCTCGTAACGATTAACTCGGGGTCGAGCACGAACCTTCACGAGAGTTAAACAATCAAAATCCGAGGTCGAGTTCGAACTCATACAAGACATGCCCAAAATCCGAAATCAAGACGTCAAACACATCTCTCACAGCACAAACAGCAAAAACCAAAAAGCGCAAGAGGCAAAAGAAAGCGAAAACGCAAAGAGACAAACAAAACAACATATATACAAACATATTGACAGAGTTCAACATTTGAATTCAAAAATCCAAAACAAAAAGGAACAGAAAAACTAAACTATTACAAAAAAAACGGCCTACACAGAGGCATTCTCGCTGGAACTATCCTCGACGTCATCCTCCTTGACCAGCTTCCCAAAACGAACGACCTTCTGCACATGCATGCCAGAGAAGTCGAACCCTGGCCCAAGGAACCGGGCTTGGCGAGCAGCCTTGAGGAAACCCCTCTTATGCTCCACCATGATGGAACGCTCCACCTCCTCAAGTCTTCTCTCCAGCGCCGCCTTCTCAGCCTCCAGTGTAGAAAGGTCTACTCTCTGGGCAGCAATCTCCTGCTCTTTACTACCAATAATGACCTTGTCACGGGGACGCTCCTCAGTTATTGACACCAGTTCACCCCTCAAAAAAGCAACCTCTTCTCCCAATGAGCGAACCTGGTCCCGAGAAGACGTCACCTCGCCTTGGGACGAGGTAACAAGCCCCTGCAGCTCACCCACTCGAGAGGCATAGTTCTCATTGGAGCGCAGGGCGATCTCCAACGACTTTTGGACCCTGGCGAGGTCCCCCCTCACCGCCTGGAGATCATATATATATATATATATATATATATATATATACACAGAAGTCTAGCCTGGGGCTCAACAAGTCAAATATACAAAATTCAACAAAATAGCTACACCAAGTAGCCTAACAACAACAAATTCAGCACCAGCTGCCAGCTATAGTCCTGCTACTACACTCCATCCTATCCCTGCTCTTCTTCCATACATAGCATGATCATTGCAATCCAACCCACATGGAAACAGGCAAGGGTAAGCTATTGAAAAGAATCAACATATAAATGGATTATAAACAACTTCAACTTAACAACACATCATTAATCTCAACAAATTTTACATACAACACATAACAACATACATCTACATCTCAGCTTCACCACACACTACACACATACAACTTATGTCATTCAACAAAATCAACATCTAACAGCTTATGCCTCGTCAAAAAAAATTTACACTGACAGTGTATAGGTGATTAACTCTTATTCAAATGATCTATGACTATGTTCATCTTAATAGATTGATTTGAAATATATTTTAACTAATTCAATGTAATAATGACTATTTTTATTTAAAATTTAATTTTAATTTATTTTGACTATTCATATTATGAATTTATATGTTTAAATTTAAAAAATAAGTGATTCTAAATATATAAGTGCTTTAAAAAGATAATTATTTTAAAATAGATATCAGTTGCTTCTTAAAAAAGTAAAAAAATTACTTATTTTAAAAATATTTAAATACACATTAAAAAAAAGTGTGTATTTTATTTACTTTTATAATAATAATAATAATAATAAAACAGATCGTGTACACCAAATAATATTAGTTTAAACTAATACTACAATATATTCACATAAACACCCTAATCTAGTTTATAAATAAGTACCTACGAGTTGAGATGAAGGGACCTTCATATGGCATTAAAAAGGGCTAATCTTAATCTAGCTAAGAACTTTTTTTTTATTATTTAAACTTAAAAGCAACTTTTGTTACATATTTTTGTAAATTTTTATTTAAAATTACTATTTAAACTTTAAATAAAGTACTTAGACGTTTCTTATAATATTTTAAGAAATTACATAATTATAACACAATTTTTTAAACATATATATCAATTAAAAAAATACGTTTTCATAATAAAAGTTCCAACAAATCCTCTATAAGCTAAAATTAAAGTATTCAACTTAAAAGTCCTATTGGATCGATCTATTGACCAAAATCCATTTTTTCTCAAAAGAAACAGCAATTTTCTTTATTAAAAATATACTTTTGAACAATTTTAAAATTATAACAGCAGGCGCAATACCTTTTCTCAAAAGTAAAAACGACTGACTTTAATTTGATAATAAAAATATAAAAATCCTTTTTTCAAAGTTATTCAAACTTCAACGTAACGTTATGCATCATCTTACTAAAATAAAATCCTAAGCTAGCTAATGCTATAAGGAAAATGTGAAAAAGGAAAAGAAAATCCGCAACAAGAATACTAAAAAAATATTTAGCTCCTCTGCATAATTGAATAATTAATATCTGTAGAATTGGCCATGGAAAATGAGTCAATTCATTGAATTTACTTTTATAAATTTAAAATAGTGTGCAAATTATTGCCTCATGTACACTTTTTTAATTTTCATAAAAAATTTACAGGAATATTTTGAATCCTAGAAACGACCATCGATGTAAATTAACAATCTTTACTTCTGAAAATCAATATTGATCTGTTCAGTAAATAATATATACTTTTATAGGGTTTGAATGATTTTAGATTCATATGCTGCATGAGAATCTAATTAATTTCAAAGTCAAGGCATTTATATCCAAAATACTCTACTAATTAATTCAAGCAAGATACATGTCTCCCCCACCCAATACGTTTATCATACAATATCAAGATCAAAATGTCAATCAATTTTGAAAGAAAGCACTTCATATATTTCATTCCTTTGAAATAATCATCTAACAATGTTCTCACTTAACTGCACAATTCATGCGACTATTTTTAAAGATAAATAATTTGGTCAAGAAATCAAAACGACTAAATTATTCTCTTGCATATACAAAGAGAGGAAAAAGAATGTTATATTTTGATTAAATTATTTATAAAATATTTACAACTATGCTTCGTTACATCTACGCAACAATATTTTTTAATAAATTTTCAAAGTATATCCGAAGAGTGTGTGAAAAATATAGAAGTGTACA